GCCAAATGGAATCCTACCAAACATTCTAAAATGAGTAACATAGTATGAGAACTGTTCCTTTGGGACTAAATTTAAACTTAGCCATCAGGTTATCACAAACATCCAAGAGTTGTTTACATTAAAAACTTGAATTTTCCCCAAATAAGATAATGAAAAAAATTAAAACTTATTGAACGTCTATATTCATTCTTTCAGCAACATTTATTGGTTGTACACAAAGTGCCAAGAACTGTGTTCAACAGTTTCACATGAACTGTCTCATTTAGTCAAGAACCATGTGAAGTGCAGACTAATTTATAGATGAATGGCTTGATTAGAGTCATGCAACTAATAAGACCTTTTATGTGGGAGGTATTTATTAAAAGTCTGCTACATGGTGGCACTTTTCAATGCCTATCACAATTATTGGGGTGCTCAGGATGAGAGCAAAAACTTAGTTCTTCATACTATACATCTAAAAACTTAAAACTATAAAAAGTCAAATGCTGGAGCCAGCTCTTAATAGGTTTGAAAGAGCTCATTCTATGCATCTCTTTCTAAATTCATGTTCAGTGCTGTTGCACTGGTGGACTAAAATAAGCCATAGTGGAAGCATTTTGACCATGGTGAATGCCACTGGAGTTGAGTGGGTGTTTGCTTGTACATTTGTTTTCCAAGAGCCTCTTATTAAGCATTTACGAGAATAAATTCTATCCTGCAAACTTGGACAATATGCCATCATAATAACCTGATGTCTAAGTTTAAATTTAGTCCCAGATTGTTTATTGTTCCATATTAGAATTTGGCAGGGAAGGGAAGGAATCCTAGACTCAGCCCCTAAACTAAAGCCCGAAGCCCTCACTCTTTTCTACTTCTCGTTCCATCCCAGCTTTTATCAGGCACTATGAAACAGTTCATGTGTACACATGTAGATATTCCACCATACACATCTAAATTTCATCCACCTATACACTACACAGACATACAGAGGCTCCCTAGCCCCTCCCGTAGACCTAGGAGCATATGTAGGACAACCTCAGCAGACAGGAGGAAGGGAAGAGATCAATCACAAACTTTAGAACACACACAGGTCTTAAGAGGTCTGAATTGTCAAGGTAAGGGACACTAGAATATTACCTAAAATAAAAGAATGCTGTAGGCTCTAGACGTGTCTCTTGGTCTTATAGATAAACCACTCTTTGGTGAGTTGTCTGATGTAAAAGGGCCAGAATACTCTTAGCACACTATAGGGCCCAGGGGATATAGTGTCAATGCCATCTCTTACATGTTTGGTACCTTCTGTAACTCATCAACCACTGTCATCTCATTTCCTCCTTCTGAAATCCACAATATTAATATTGTTTGCTAGTTCCATGATAGAACAGGGAAAGGCATACACAAAAGCAAGATGAAGATTACAAAGGGCTAGTCAAAAGGACAAAGCCCTCAGGGAAATGCTTACATTGATGTTTTTCAATCTTAAGGAAACTTTTTAACTGACTTATTTATTTTAATTAATGTATAATTTAAAAATAAATATTATTTAGGTAAAGCATACAGTGTGTTGTTTTGATATTATGTATACATTGTAAAATAGTTAAATCATGTCATTTAAAATATCCATTACTTTATATACTTATCACTGTTTTGTTGTGAACATTTATAACCTATCTTTGAGCAATTTTCAAGTACATAAATTTCATTATTAACTATAATCACCTATAGACTAGCTTTTCTGAACTTATTCATCCTATCTAAATGAAAGTTTATAGATTTGGTCAACAATTCTCAGCCTCTGACCTCAGCCTCTAGCCCCTGGCAATCACTATTCTATTCTGTGATTCTAAAAGTTTGAATTTTTAGAGCCCACAAATAAATGAGAACATTCAGTATTTACCTTTCTGTGTCCAGCCTATTTCATTTAGCAAAATGTTCTTTGGGCTCATGCTTGTTGTTGCAAGTGACAAGATTTCCTCCTTTTAAGGCTGAGTAGTATTCCATTGATTGCATGTGTGTCACATTTTCTTTATTCATCCATCTGTTGATGGTTGTTTAGGTTGATTCTCTATCTTAGAAATTGTGAACAATGCTTCAATTACATTGGTCTGGACTACAGTTTTTTGGATATGTCTCCTAAAACAGACAACAAAGGCAAGAATGACAAATGGAATTACATCAAACTAAAAAATTTCTGCATAGCCAAGGAAGCAATCTATCAACAACAAATGGAATGAGATTAAAAACAATTTTTCAAACCATACATTGAATAAAGGGTTAATATCCAAAATATATAAGGAACTCAACTCAATAGCAAGAAAACCAAATAGCCTGATTAAAAAATGGAAAAAGACTTGAATAGGCATTTCTCAAAAGAATACATACAAATGTCCAATAGGTATAAGAAAAATGCTCAAAAATCAGTAATCACCAGAAAAATAAAAATTAAATCCATAATGAGTTGTCACTTTACACAATAAGAATGACTTATAAAGAAGACAAAAGATAAGTATTGGAAGGAATGTGGAGAAAAGGGGTTCTTGCAAACTATTGTTGGGAAGGTAGATTAGTACAGCCATTATGGAATACGGTACGGAGATTTCTCAAAAAAAATAAAAATAAAACTACCATAAGATCCAGCAATCCTACTATGAGTTATTTATTAAAATAATATTAAATCAGTATGTTGAAAAGACACATGTGTTTCTATGTTCATTTAAGAGGCTTCTTCCAATGAACAGGAGGGTTTTATTTGCTTATTTGCGTTATTTGCCTGTTTGTAGGAAATAATTCTTTATTTGCATTTTTTTAAATTGTGAACTATTGACCAGTTTATTTTTTTTATTTCTTTTATTCATATGTGCATACAATGTTTGGGTCATTTCCCCCCCCTTCCCCCTGCCTCCTCTCTTAAACCCCCTCTCCCCCACCCCCTCGCTTCCAGGCAGAAACTGTTTTGCCCTTATCTCTAATTTTGTTGAAGAGTGAGTATAAGCAATAATAGGAAGGAACAAGGGTTATCTTGTTGAGATAAGGATAGCTATACAAGGAGATTCCTCACATTGCTTTCCTATACATATTTGTTACATTCTAAATTGATTCTTCTCAAACTAACCTTTTCTCTACTTCCTGGTCCCCTTCTCCTATTCATCTCTGTCACTTTAAAGTTTCTGCATTAGTTCCTCTGCATTGAGGACATCAAATGCTATCTTGTTTTTTGGGGTTTCTTACTAACTCCATTAGAAACCAGGTACATGAAACATATTTTTTCAACAATTTTCTCAACAAAATTTATCTAATTTATTCCAGAAATTGTAGTAAATCACAAAATGTGATGGTAAAATTTAGCTGTATTTCTTCTATGTCATGAATTATTAAAGTGTAATTGACTGAGTACTTCTGACATACCTGGTACTTTGATTGCTGTGGGCTTAAAATGCTGGCAACATTTATGATGGCTCCCCGGGTACACACCCTTCACTCAAACATGGGAAACAAAACCTGCTCTCATTTTCCCTGGACACTGGATGTCAGTAATTTTACCTGGAGACTTGGAGAGGGAAGGGAAGTAGAAGAGTGACCACAGATGCAAGGACACAGTTTAAATTTTACTGTACAATGAACTGACAGAGCATCATTAAAGGAGGGGACATTACAGTTCTGGACAAGGGATTGTTCTGTGCAAGAAATCATGGAAGAGTTCACTGGGGAGCTGGACTGCATTTTCTCTCTCTACAGTTAGCTCTTGTTTCTCTTTGAGATTCACAGCCATTTGAGTCCTTCGGGCAAGAAACAACAAGTTGCAGGCTGAAGTTGCCTCTGTCTTCCTGGGAAGGGTGATGTCAAGGAGAGGAGGGCAGAGGGCTCCTAATCACTTTTCCTGAACTTTAGTTGTCACCTGAAGATTCTCTTTCAGCATGAGGGTGACCCTGTTAGGAACTGGGTTGCCAACAAGCATTCCCGTCACAGTTGGTACTTCTCAAGTAACTGTGGCAGGCAAGCTCTGGATCCCTGGCACTTTGCCCAACCTGGCGTTTCCCTTTTGTTGCCCTAAGAGTTGTGTGTTGTGAATCAAATCACTGGGCAACCAAGAGCCCCAGGCTCTCTAGCAACTACTGTTTATTCCAGCCAAAAGTATAGAGAAAGGAGTATACCTGGCAAAGGGGGACCAATCCTAGCCTTCTTACTATTCCCTTACAACTAATCAAATTATCTCGAAAAAAGCTCATGTTGTAATAGTCTGCGGGCAAGTAGATACCACTTCCCCTATGCTCAGGTGAGTGCTGGTAGCTCCTCTGTATTAAATGCACATCTCAGTGCTTCTTTTCCATATGTTTTGCAGTGAAAGACCTGTCACTGTGAACAGCTGGGAAAGAAGGGAAAGCATATTCATTTGCTCCTGTCAATAGCTGGCCCAGGGCAGGAGACAAGACAGGTGAGAAATGTTTTTCCTTCTACAAGGAAAGATTCTAAACTGAGCAAATGCATTACTTTGAACAGTGGAGTTTGTTGTTTTGGGAACCTGTCATAGTTAAAGTACTTTCTCTTGCTAACTGCTTCCCCTCCAGGCCATAAAAGCTCTTTACTTTTCTTTTTTTCTTTTTTTTTTTTTAATTATTCATTTTTTCACATGTGCATATATTGTTTGGGTCATTTCTACCCCCTGCCCCCTCCCCCACCCTCTCCCCTCTTTCCCCCCCATCAGGTCCTGTTCTGCCTTTATCACTAATTTTGTTGAAGAAAAGACACAAGCATAATAAGGAAGACAAAGCATTTTTGCTAGTTGAGTTAAAGATAGCTATACAGAAATATTCCTAGCATTGCTTTCGTGTACACGTGTCACGACCCATGTTGATTCAACTTCCAAGCTCCTTTCAGAAATTGCTGCACCTTCAGATTGAGACATCCTTCCTCCTTTGCAAACTTCAGCTGTGTCTGGGGGCAGGGCCACTGCAGAGCTGCCAGGAGCACAAAGGCTTCCAAAGATAAGTCCCTCAGTAGGCTGGAAACCAGAGGCAGATCAGTCCTGGGATGCGAGGGCACCAGAATTCTCCCTCTCCAAAAGAAATCTAGGACCAAAGCAGACATTTTCTTGGTAAGTTTTGTGGGATTTGATGACTACAACATATCTGAGAATAGGTAAGATTGAGTTCAACTTTCTCTTATTTGAAGGGCTTATGGATTCCGGTCTGTGGATTGGGGTGAGGGGAGTGGAGAGAGCATCTAATTGGAACTCCAGTCACGTGGAGCTTACAGCCTGGGACAGTAGTGGGGATAGTCCATCAGGCATCTGGAACAGGCTTGATTTCGGAATGCAGTGGATCCGATTGCTTCTTGGCAGCTGCCCTTTTCCAATTATGTTTGGCTTAGCCTGGTTGTCAAATTACTTTGCAACCCCTAAAGTGATCCAGAAAGTATGCAGAGGAGACAGAGAGAACACTGTCTAAAAACCAGACTGGGTATGAGGGAAAGAGGGTTCTGGCTAGGTTTTTTAAAATGTTCCCTGAATAATGCATGGCTCTGCCCAAAGAAAGGTGATTGTATATTATTCCTTGGACCATTGTTAAGCCCCAAATGCTGCATATAAGATGTATCCTTAAAAGGCAGAACAGTTGAAGCCATGGCACACGCTTTGATTTTGCTCCTTTAATGAAGTTCAAGAAGAGATAAAAATAGGTGTTGATTGAAAACACAAGATTTCTTGTAGTGAATATAGTGTCTGATTCAAAAAATTTATAAATCTTTGAGTTGTCTTCATTTTATCAGTAAACAAGTGTCTTAATACTTTGAGTTCCTATCACAATGTGGTAATTCCATTAAGCTAAGTTAACAATTTCCCTTTCATAATTTTTGAAGAATGTTTTTTCATAATATTTGATATTTCAGACAAGATACTTTAGACAAGACAAGATAGCAGGAAGGATGGTGAACCTCCTCAAAAGAATGAAGCATTTTTTCTTATGGCTCTGTGGAATTCATTATTTACATGATAACATAGTCACAAATTATTATTAAATAAAATTAAAGGTAAAAATAAGTTTAAAAGTTTTAGAGCTGTCAAGCTAATACACCGTAGGTAGCAGGTGTCATGAGTTAGAGTATGTACACATTCCGGTGATATTAGCATTCAGGCATCATAAATGTATCTGGTCCAGATCTACCTTTCCAAATGGAAACCAATTGAGTTTTTTTATTTAGAGATTGAATATTAATGAATAGTAATATCTTAAAGCCTCTATGGTATAATGTCTGAAAAACTATTTTTCCTGCCCTCTCCCTCCAATGCTGAAATTTTATTGGTTGAAATTAACTAATAACAAAAGATCTTGAGATTCAGCTACTCTTTTAATTCAGCTATTTTGATAAATTGAAATAATTATCAGGAAAATTATTGAAGCATAACTTTTCCACGATGTATAAGTATGGCAAAATTTCTATTTCCCCTGTTTTCACATCAACCTCAAGTTTCTCTCCAAATTTAAGATCACCTATGAGACAAAGGTGGTAGTACCAGTCTCAGAGAGTTTCTAAGGTATTAATTAAGGTTCGTACATAGAAAACATCAGCTGAGTGCTAAGAACATAATAATTGCTGAATAATTATGCATGCACTCCACACACACAGGTAATTTGCATATTTCTTTCATTTTGGTCATTTTCCAATCCTACTATTTAGAGATGGGAGGCCACACACATTTACTGGATCCTACAGCATGCTAGAAGGTCTAACAACTTACTCTATGGAAGAAAAGATGGAAATCAACAGATACTAACATTTGGTGGGCTTGTGATAGTCTTGTCTTCTGTTATTAAAAACACTCAAGAAACAACAGCCCTTTATTTTGGGGGGTTAGAATTTAATTTTACTTAAGTAACCATGAAGTTTCTGCATCAACTTCTTGTGAATACCCTCCAAAGTTTGATTCAAATTAGTTGTAATTAACATTTGAGGAATTTCTGCATACTCTTTTATTAGAAGTAGAAAATTTCCACTTTATGTGGAAACCTAGTTTGGGGAAAAATTCTGCCACTAACCAGCAGAGTGACCTGGACAATTGCCCAATGTCTCTGAGCTTCCATTCTCCCTACCCATCCAGTAAAGGCACTGGAAGCAATAATACCACAGGTTCTTTCTTTCTGGCTGTAAGAATTCTATTTTAAGCTATATTTATTTCCAAGGTCAATGCATAGCATACCTTTCAGAGCTACTTTTGTGATTTTCCAAACAGAGCTAGAGAAATTGGGTGATAAATTTGATTTGACAAAATTAATACGAAGAACAAAAAGACAAAACTCACATCTATCCCCAAAGTAGGATAATCTCTAAAACAATTTAGTTGTGCCAAACATAAGTCCCAGCTAAAACCCTAATTCTAAAGAGGAAAACCTATAGTGAGTAATTAGGAAAGAAACACACACAACACACACACAAAGTGATGGCATGAAATTTTTCGAAAAGACAGTAACTATCTCATCAGATAAGAAGCTGCCAAAATCTAAGGGCTGTTTTACAGAAAAGGCAAAACTACTCTTCCTGGGTGAATCCATGAATGATAGATTTGACATATTGTAAGAACCTTCGTAAATGCTACAATATACCCCCATCCAGCACAACAATTGAAAAAAATTACCCCTTCCCACCAAACCCAATCTAATGTTTCATAAACTAAATTATAATTGTAAGAATTGTATAATTGTAAGAAGAAGCCAAATAATGAAGCTTACAATAAATATTTTCACTTTATAGGTATTCTTTAATTTGCCAATTAAATCTCACTGATGAAAAGTATATTGCATATCTAGGGGTACCTACTTTTTTTCTTTGCTTGAGAAAAACACAATAACTTATCAACTAACTAAATTGCCATGATGCTCCTACTAGGCTCAATTCGAAGTCAGGAGGGAAAGTTAAAAACAGATTTCAAGAAATTGTACTCATATACAAACTTCAGAGTTTTCAAAAATAATTTGCTTTTAAATAACTGATGATCATTGATGTTTTTTCTTTTTAAATTTCATCACATTTTCCGCCTAGTAAAGCTTAAATAAGCCGTGACAAGTTAGAGTAGGAAATGATCCCATTTCACCATGTTTTGGTTTGGATTACCATGGACATTTGTCATAAAACCAAGAAGACATTGTGAAGAGTAGGAACAATTCCACCAGTTCCTGCATAGATGCACAAATACTTTAACTTCAGCAACACCCGAGTTTATCCAGTTCTTCCAGACACAGCCCCACATGCCTGAGACAGCCTCCTGTCAATAGGGATCCTGACTCCTCCAGCTCTGCGGGTGTACTTCCTCTGCTTATCTGTTTGACCACAGTCCCAGGTTCCCCTAGTGATTAGAAATGTGCTTCTCCCTCTCTAGTGCAATGTCCTAGGTAGAAGAAGAAAAAGGAAAAGAATTCTAAAAAGAGAAATTGGAAAAAAAATCTCCAAATGGTATGGAATGTGATTAGCGTTTGTTGGTGGGGATAGCTATAGGTCTGATCACTTCAATAGTAAGTGGATATCAGCAGTGTCATATTTACAGTAACCATGTTCATCATGGTAGAAAATACAACCTTTAAATGGTGTATACACTCAGGATCAATGTTTCAAATTTCAAGCTGTATAAAAGTCCTATGGCTTCTCAACTGCCCCCATCTGTAATTATTGATCCAAAATGTGGGTACCTCTGACTATAATGAAAGCCAAAAGCCATCTGTAGATTTATGAGTCACTAAAGGATACCCACAAAATACTGATGAATTTTAACTTACTTTTGAATCTTAAAATTTAAATTTAGTCACCATCTGTGAAATTACACATTTTTAAAGGTACAAATGTGTGGTAGCTGGCTATTAACGTTGTTGCTCTCCAGTCAAGAACACTGGACAATGTATGTTGATTGTGTTCCTCACACTAAGCCGACAGCCTCTTGCTGATGCTGCTTTGCTCTGTGTAAATACAGAGATCTCAGTCTTTGATTGGGATGTGCCGAACGTCGATCATCTCAGTCCATGAGCACTAAGTCTAGTGAAGATGTTGTCACTGTGTACAATAGAGAACTAGATGAATTAACTATGTGATGTTCACTATTATTAATAAATTGTAACTTTTTCAAATATTCAGTGTGCAATCTGAGCGAAATATTAAATGTGCATTTAGGAGCACGGAAGTCTTTGGGGCATGTTAATACTTCCTGGTCAGTCCGATGAATTAACTATGGGTGTCTTGAAAATAAACAAATAAATAAAAGTTCTTTCAACCAAAAAAGTCAAACCCATTAATGAACACATAATTGAGAATGACTTGAGTTTAGACTATTATGCCAGTGTGCAGGAAAATTTGATGATAAAATTTTAATTGTCATTTTTTTTTTGCAGTACTGGAGTTTGAACTCAGGACCTTCACCTTGAGCCACTCCACCAGCCCTATTTTTGTGAAAGGTTTTTTTGAGATAGGGTCTCGCAAACTATTTGCCTCAGCTGCCTTCGAATCGTGATCCTCCTGATCTCTGCCTCCTGAGTAGCTAGGATTACAGGTGTGAGCCACTGGTGCCTGGTTTAATTGTCTTATTCTTTTTTTTTTTTTTTTTCCGCTTGGGGAAGTAAGTCCTTATTCATCTTATTCTTAAGATGAATTCTGCTATGACCTGTAGGAGGATATTTCCTTATCTATTTCAACTGCTTATTTGAGTAATTGTAGTAAATTTCTATTTGTCCTAATATGAGCATTCAATGAGATATTGTATCAGAACTTAGAACAGTGACTGACATAAAAAAGCATTTAATCAATACGAACTATTCATTCTACTAGTGCTTCTACTATTATTATAACATTGCTGTCCATGTAATTAAAACTGATATTCTTTGACTTTTTATTTTCTTTAAGTTTTGTTGAAGTATAATGAACAAAAAATTTTAGATTTGTAGTACCCAATGTGCTGTTTTTATATATGTGTATATTATGAAATAGCTGCCACAATCAAGCTAATTAATATGCTGTCACTTCACATGTATGTGTATGTGTATGTGTAGTGAGAACATTTGAGATCTGTTTTCTAATGAAATTTCCAGCATCCAATACAGTAATAACCATAGCCACTATGCTGTATTAGATCTCCAGAATTTATTCATCCTGCATAACTGAAACTTTGCACCCTTCAATCAACAGCTCCATTCTGCTGTTTCAATAAGCTCAAATTCTTAGATTCCACACATAAGTGAACTCAGATAGTACATTTCCCTTTGTGCCTATAGTCCTTCAGGTTGATCATGTTGTCACAAATCACAGAAATTCTGTCTTTCGTATGACTGAATATTATTCCACTGTGTGTGTTTGAATGTGTGCATCTCACATTTTCTTTATCCATTCATCCATCTGTGAACATTAAGGCTCATTCCATATCTTGGCTATTATGAATGATGCAGTGCACATGGAATTGCAGATACTTCTTCAACACACTGATTTCACCTTCTTTGGATATATACTCAGTAGTGAAATAGCTGAATCATATGGTAGCTCTATGCTTAATTTTTTGAGGAGTCACCATACTACCACTTAATATTTTCCCCTAAAAGTGTGCCAGAGTTTCCTATTTTCCATCTCCTCAATAACACTTAAAGTCTTTCAATAATAGCCATTCTAACAAGTGTGAGATGATGTCTCATGGTGGTTTTGATCTGTTTCCCTGATAATCGGTTGATCCTTTTTCACAGACTTCCTGGCAATCTGTATGCTTCTTTTGAGAAATGTCTATTCAGGTTCTTCACCCATTTGTTAATAGCATTATTTGTTTTCTTCCTATTTGATTGTTTGCATTGCTTACATATTTCGGATATTAACCCTTTATTAGGGGTATGGTTTGCAAATATTTTCTCGTAGTCTAGAGATTATCACTTCACTCTGAAGATTGTTGCTTGTTTCTTCAGCTGTGAAGCATTTAAATTTAATTTAATCCCATTCTATTCTTACCTTTGTTGCCTGTGCTTTTCAGTTCATATCAAAATATCATTGTCCACACCAACATCATGGAGCTCTTCTATGTTTTATTCTAGTAGTTTTATACTTTCAGGACTTAGATGTAAGTCTTTAACCCATTTTGAGATAATTTTTGCTTCTGTTATGAGAGAAAGCTCTAGTTTCATACTTCTGAACATGGATATCCAATTTTCTGAACACCATTTATTAAAGAAACTATCCTTCCTCCATTGAATGTTCTTGGAAACATTGTCAAAGACCAACTGAAAATAAATTCATAGATTTACTTCTGGTCTCACTATTCTGTTGCATTGTTTTATGTATCTGTTTTATGCCAGTACTGTGTTATTTTATCTCTATGCCTTCGTAATAAATTTTAGGATCAGGTAATGTGGTGCCTCCTCCATTATTTTCCTTTCTCATGGTTGCTTTGGCTATTTGGGATTATTGTGGTTCTATAAAAAATTTAGTGGTGATTTTTCTACTTTCTCTGTATCACGTCATTGAAATTTTATATGAATTTGTCATATAAAATCACTATGGTCATTTTAACAACACTAATTCTTCCAATTAATCAGATATGTCTTCTTCAATTTATTTCATCATTTTCTTACAGTTTTCAGTGTAAAGATCTTTCATCTCCTTAAGTTTAATCTTAAATTTAAAGTTCATTGATGGTGTTTAAATGGGATTGTGTTCTTTTTTTGACTTTTATTTTTTTCCTTTATTGTTGTGCTGGGTGGGCATACACTGTGGTATTTACAAAGGTTCTTACAATGTATCAACCATATCATATTTAAATTCACCCCCTCCACCTCTCCCCTTTAACCCCCCTCCATCAGTTCATGGTACAGTTTCAACAGGTATCATTATCGAAACTACATGCATGTGTACACATTTTTTCACTGTATTTACCCTACTACCCCCTCCTTCTGCCCTCTCCCCACTCCCAGTGCTACCAACCCTCCCCCCTGGGCAGGACCTGTTCTGCTCTCTTGTTCTCTGATTTTGCAGAAAAAGAGAAAAAAACAAAAAGAAAAATATGACATTTTGTTTGAGATAAAGGTAGCTATACAGGAATTGTGTTCTTAGACATAAGATGGATATTTATATGTTGCTTTTGTATCTTATAAACTTAATAATTCTTTTAGTTTTAAGTTTTTTCAGTCTTTAGGGTTTCCAGAATATATTTTCATGCCATAAAAAGCAGCAACAATTTTATTTCTTCCTTTCAGACTTGGATGCCTAATTTTATTTCTTATTCTTGCTTAATTGCTCTGACTAGGATTATCAGTACTATTTAGAACAAAAGTAATCAGAATTGGCATTCTTGTATTGTTCCTAACTTTAGAGGAAAAACTTTCTACTTTTCATCATTGTATATGATGTTAGGTGTAGGCTTGTCATATACAGCATTTATTGCACTGAGACACATTCCTTCTATACCCATCTTCCAAGTGTTGTCACCATGAAAGGATATTAAATTTTGTCAATCAATGCTTTTATGCATCTGTTGGGGGGGCTATTACTGTATCCTTCATTCTCTTAATGCAGTTTATCACATTTATTAATTTCCTTTTGTTGAATAATCCTTACATCCCAGGGATAATCTCATTTTATCTGTCATAGGAGCCTTTTAATGTGTTATTAAACTCATTTTTCTAGCATTTCATTAAGGATCTTCACATCTCTGGGCACCAGGGATGTTAGCATCCATAGGCTATTATGGCTAATAATAATAATAGATTATTATAATATTTTATTATATTATGCCTAATAATAGATAGTAATAATAGTATTATTATTATTATCTATTTCTGTTCTTTTAGTTTCCTGGTCTTGCTTTGATCTGAGGATAATGGTGGCCTCATAAAATAAGTTTGGAAGTATTCTGTGCTCTTCAATTTATTGGAAGAATTTATATTAATTCTTTTTAAATGTTCACCACTGAACCACCAAATTCTGGGCTTCTCATGATTTGGCGGATTTTAATTATGAACTCAATCTCTATAGTATTATTATGTTCATATTTTCTATTCTTCATGGTTCAGTCACATATATGTGTTATATAGACTATATAAATACTTAATTGTTATTTCTCTTGATGAATTGACTGCTTCATCTTGTCTCCACTGACAATTTAGACTTCTAATCTATTTTGTTGATATAAATGTAGCTACCCTCTTTCTTTTGATATTCCTTTGCTTGGAATATGCTTTTCTATTCCTTTACTTTTAGCCACTGTTGTGTTCTTTAATGCTAAAGTGACTCTCTTCTAGGCTAAATATAGTTAGCACTTGTCTTTTACCCACTCAGGCAACTTACATCTTTTCATTGGAGAATTTAATTGATTTATATTTAAAGTAATCATTGGTGGGTAAAGAATTTACTATTGGCTGTCATCTTTTCTGGTCTGATCATCTTTTGCAATGGTGTTCTTTAGTTTCCCTTTATCTTTGGTGAATCTTCTATGGCTTTTATAGGCCATAGAATATTGTTATTATCAATGATGCTTAGATACAGCATCTTAAAGTTATAATACTCTATTTTATGTGGATAGCATGCTAACTTTGACTAAAACCTCTACAGTTTTTATGTATTTGATCTCACAAATCCTCATACCTATGCCTATCATGTAAATTACAGGCAAGTGCTACTACACCCACTTGTTTGCTGAGATAGATACTTGCTAACTCCTTTTTGCCTATCTGGCGTTTAACTACAATTCTACCATCTCCTTATCTTGCATAGCTGTGATTATGTACATCCAATACCAGACACAGCATATTTGTTGAAATGGGCTCTTGCTAACTTTTTGCCTGGGCTTACCTTAAACCATGATCCTCTGGGTCTCCACCTCCTGAGTGCATGAGCCACTGCACCAGACCATCAGCATGATTTCTGAAAGGTGAAATAAATAGTCATTAATGGACTCAGGATTGGCACTGTGGCCCTCGGCCCATAATACATGGCACCTCTCACTAGATTTCCTTTCCCATAAATATTGCATATCCACAATCTTGTGAAATTTCTTTTTTAAAAAAGTCACATGTTCCTAGTTGAAATCAAGGTACATAAAGTACATTATAAACCCTCAGGATAAACTAATCAAAATATCAAAGCCCAGAAAATTGATATGCACAAGGTAGAAAGTCTCAGAGAATAAATCAATGAAATTCTTTGCAGAATCTAGGGGTTTTTATATTTCATTTTTAAAATGTACCATATAAGTAAAAAAAAAAAAAAGCAGAACAGAAGTAGCACCATATTTTGAGTTATAGTTCTCCAAAAAAGTGAGTTGATTTAACATTTCTTCATTAGAATAAGCTTATTAACTTAGTATCATAGAAGCATTTTTGTCTCAAAAGCCATGTACAATTGGCATCAGAAAAGTATCACATACTCATGTATGTAAATGGAAAAACAAGACTTGCTGAAACTAATCCAGGAATTGGGGAAGGAGGAATAAAGGAGAATGATGGAGGGGTGAATTAAACTATGATATACTGTAAGAATTTTTGAAATGCCACAATGTACTCCCAGTACAATAACATGTGATAATAAAAAACAATTTTTTAAAAAACCTACAGAAACAGAAGCCTTACATTTCTGAATTGTGGTGCGTTTTTTCTTCCTTAAACTTTCCACAGTTTTTATAAAAAACATACTTATAAAAGTGCATATGTCATTGGCTCTGACCTTATCTAAAGTTTCTGTGAGAAAACAAGGGATTCTTTTTATCTGGATTCTGACGCATATTTTTATCTTAATTACAGAAACTGTGTTTCTGTTTACAGCATGTGAAACACTGTCCCCAGAACAAAGGTCCACCATTGATAAGTCCAACCACAGATGGAGGCAGCTAAGTGCATAGCAGAGGCCAGAGTCCACTTGAACTGTTCACACTCTGAGAGGTCAAGTTCAGAAACAAGCTGCCTATCCATTGCTGTTAACACTGATTTGTTCTAGCAGGGAGCTGACAAGATTTAATCCCAAAGACCAGAAACATGCACTGTGCCATCCAAAAGGCAGAAGCACTGGATGGGTCCCATCTGATGCAGGTCCTCTGGCATGATGGGGCAGAGTCCCTCTACCCTTCCGTGTGGCTAAGAGACAACTGCCAGTGCTCTGAGTGCTACCTGGGTTCTGCAAAGGCACGGAAACTTCTTCTGGAAGCTCTTGATGTGAACATTAGTATTAAAGATTTGACATTTGACAGAAAAAAGGTAATCATCTCTAAATGATCTCTTCCTTCTCTTCTAAGTTAAATAAAAGGACTAGTCTATTAACTATAATTTAATTAACTATTTTTTCATTTGGACATCATGTATTTGATCATGTTAATATAGTTTGTGCAAATGAAGTATACTCTGTAAGTGAAAGCATCTGCTATTATTATTATTACTACTACTTCTACCATTTTTAATAAAATTGGCAAAGTTGTTCATTACTCTTTCAGTGAGCCTTGAAGACATAATCAAACAATTGTTGCTTCTATAAAATAGGGATAATAACAGAATTTTCTCGTAGAGGTTATACCAGGATTCAATGAGATAATCTAGGTTAAAAATCTTTATCATGGTTCCTGAAGCAGTGAACACTCAAAAATAGTGCTGGTTAATATTTATAATCAAATTAATTAGCAAGTAGAGGTATTAAGCTTGTTTGAAAGCATTGCTTTTATAGTCTGACCACACATAGTCATCATCCCATGTTTTTCTCTTCCAGATTTACTAGAATTCTTATCAGAAGAGCAACTATAACCAGAAAAACCAGGCTTTTCCCATGCTTTTGTTCTCATCTCAACTTAAGAACTTTATTCCCAGTTTTTACACTGTTAATAGTAGCAACTTGTCATAGGAAGTTTGGGGACCACAGATTCAGAGGTTATCTAATAAGAACTTCAAGTATGGCCAAATTCTATTTCTTGCATGCTATTTGATTGACCTCAGACCTCAGATGTAGCCCCTTGGCTTTCAGGGGGTTAAAAAAGCAAGGTTAATTCAAGTCCCTGATTATTTTAAATAATATCCACAAACAGAGAAATAGTAGAGAATGGAAGGATATGGCAGCATAATAGATAAATAGGTGATGGCTTGCTTTCTGTGTTATAAGGTTTATATCATATGGCCCAATGAGCATCGCAGTGAATTTGAAGCTGATTGGTTGAAGAAAAGATGCTTTTCCCGGCAGGCCAGAGAAAAACTCCAAGAAGAATTGTTTTTGCCAGGTAACCTTTCCATGGTCTTCAATGTCTTTTAAAATCTCTGTAGTAAGGATTATTTTTATAATTACTATTATTTTAATTGTACATATTTATGGGGTACAATGTGATATTTTGATATGTAAAGGAGCAGGATGAACCAGAGGCAGACTTGTTCTTCCTAATAATTTTGTCTAAAGCCAAAACAGCACAAGTCAACAAAGTATCAGTTCCTAACCTGGTATCTATACGTGGAATTGCGTGATCAATGAACCCATGAAATGATAAGCACAGCATTGAGTAGCAAGTGAGTGTGAGTGCGAATGTGCTCACTCAGACGCACAAGCGCATTTTTCTAGAGAGAGTTTACATGGGTCTTAAGGGGATCTGTGATCAGAGCAATGTTCAGAAAAGCTTCAAGAGAGGATTCAGGGGGAAAAGTGAGCTTTATTTTTGAGCTGTGGCTCATTTTGTTTTGTAAGACAAAATAAATACTTAAATAGATAAAATACTTCAGGAGATACAATAATAGAGTCCAAGCCATAGCACTGGTGAAGGTAGGAGTTTATGATTTACTTTTGGTCTATCTGGCAGATTGGTACATGAGACTCTGGGTTAAAGGCAAACTTTCAACAAACATGATGATTTTTATGTATTTGTTAGAACCTTGACTTCTACTAGCACACTCGCAAGGCAAGTTATCCTGAACTTTCTTTTCCACTGTTAGCCAGACAACACTGGACTATTTCAGCAACTGACTACCCTGGTGAGTTCTGTAACACCTCTGACTGGGAATTCGGAGTCATACACTGAACAGAGATTTCACCATATTCCCTTCATCTAACATTCTCAGACATGAATGGCAGCTCTGGTTTTAAGTGCTGCACTTACAACAGATTACTGGGCATTACAACAGATTATAAATCAACTTGAACCAAATAGTATGATCTTTTCCTGTGGTTATCAATGATAGAGTATGGTAGTGTCCACCTCCTCTTTAAACATAGACCAATCTTATCAAAACTTAAGTTCCTCTATTTGTTTATGTCACTATTCTGACAGCTGACAAAGTTTTGTTTTAGAGCTTTGTGTCTGAACTACCAGGAACTCATTTGCCCTTTAACTCTAACTGCTAGCTGATTGAACATGGATGAGTATCCAGAAAACTGTTTTTCCTGCATTTCCCCAAAGAATGCATTGCTAGATTCTTCAAGTAGTTTCCAATTACATAACTTCATACCAATTGTCTGGGTTAAATAGCAGTATCTCATATATATTGTTTTTTATTTGTTTTAGATTTCTTCTGGTACTCAAAATATTTTTTTCCTCAACTCTGCCCTAATTTTGTAATCCTGTTGGATTTTACTTTCATTTCCTGCAGTTTCTTCCTTAGATTATTTCAGAAAGTAAAAGCCAAGATTTTATTACTACAGCTTAAGCTTTTAAGCACTGTAAAAAGATATGACTATCCCCCCACACCGCCATTAATATTTCTTAACGAGTGAAGTTTTATAGCTTACATTTCTCAGTACTATCAGGAAGTAGCAAAATGGAAATGATAGTAGCTCAGTTAAGTAGTGGAAAAAACTGGTCACAATGACAGTTTGTCATCATGAATAATATAAGAATTGGCTGCTATGTAGACATTGGAAAATATTTCAGTGGTTTAAAACAAGATCAGGTTTTTAAAATACATTTTCAAGCTGTGCAGTTGATGGATAAAAGAAGGAATTAATGGGCAGTTTTTGAATATTGGTTTTATGGCTTTCTACCAGTAAAACTTGATACCTTCTATCACTGCCATTGCATATTTTCAAACATTAATATTCCGGAGCATGTAAACAAAGTGAGTCACATTTGTGAAAGGATTTTGTTTTTTAGACCCAGTAGCAATGATCCTCTTTTGCTTTTCCCTTAGAGTGAGGACTGTAGGATTTTAAAATCCAGAGTCAAGAGACAGATCACTTTCTTTGATCTCCTGGCATGAGGTGTTGAATGCAAACATGAAAAGACAAATGATAATCTGTCATGGGCTGATTATGAGACAGTCATGGGGCAGATTGTCCCCCACAGCTGAAACGAAGATGTGGAGAACAATCACTCAATTACAAATATCTATCCCGCTGCACATACAATGGACACCTGTTTTGTGCTGGGGAAACTATGAGGAAATACCAAAGTGAAAAAAGGCACAGACTCTGACTTGAGGATTTATTAACTCTAGTAAAGAACAATAGTCATGAAAACAAGTGTAACACATTATGTACCTGGAGATGATATACTGAATGCTAATTATGCCATAGAGGAAGGAATTGGAAGAAATGAGAGAATGATGTTTGAGCTAGGTTTCGATGACTCTCTTATTATATATCAGAGAAATGAGTTCAAGCTTTTTACAACTTTAAGACAATTAATGCCTAATTTTTACTCTGCATTTTACATTTTTGGAGTTGTGTCTGTCTGATTTTGACCAAGTGAATATAATTTCTCAAATACTTACAAGTCTACAAACATCTTCTACACATTTCCCTTTTATTATAGTCTCCCCTCCTCCAAGGTTCCCCCTTTGGCCTTTGGCTTGCATTTATTTTACAAAGAGAATGAAGGGATCAGATTTGTGCTATAGAAAGGCCTCGGTCATTGCTGTTAATTATTGGATGGGCCATATAGGCAGAATGTGGGCAAAAGTGACCATAGTATAGCTTGAGACAATAAGCTTAGGAGGCAGAGAAGATGGGGTAGAATTTGTATTCAAAAGAAACTTACTGGCTCTATTCCTTAATCTCTACCAATTTAAAACTTGACTGCTGAAGCCTGGCATAGAAACATCTCCAAACATACAGATAAAAATTGAGGATTTTAGTGGAATATTTTAGAAACATGAAGTTTTTTATGTAATTATATTTTAGCTTCCATACAAATTTGTGAAATAATTATATACATTTTTGTGACTGTGAGATGCAAAACTCCCAATATTTAGTTGATAATTCCAGGAATGGGGACAAAGGAGATGAAGGAGAATGGTAGAGAGGGTGAATTCAAATATGATATATTTCATATATTGTAAGAACATTTGAAAATGCCACAATATACCCCCACCCAGCAAAACAATAAAAAAAAATTTAGTTGACAAAACTAAAATGGAAAAAAATCACTGCATATTATGGTCACATATATATGAACCTAAATATTTTCTTTTTATCAATACTCAGTGTCAAAGTGAATGCTTTTTATACCTCTTTAAACTGTACTGAAATATTTTCTATCCATTCTGGTTTAATAGTATTTGTTAATTAAAATTGAGATTTATAAAGTTATAATTTGAAGTAAATCTTTTTTTTTTCCCACTGAGGCCGTCTGCTCAGTTTTCTCAGCAAGCCAGAAGTGATTACATGACACAGTCAGAAAAGAACATTTTCTTTCAATTCACATGCCCCTCTACAGGGCCAGTCTTTACCATCTACTTAATTAGATTACAACCCTTCAGTCCCTAGCTATAATCCCCTTCTTTGTTTCAAAAGCACAAGCCAGAAGAAGTGAAAAGCCTTGAATTACTGCCAGGGCTCTCTAAAATCTATTTGCCTTGCACATAGGAGAGAAAAAATACAGAGTGCCCTTTCTTGCCTAGAGCTGTGTGTTGACTTAAAGATTTTCTTATGTGCAAAGAACATAATTAGCTTGGTTCAGACACCATTTTTACAGAACCTTGTCAAAAAGCAAAAATCACATGTGGATTTTTCTTTTTCATTAGCATGTACACAATAAATATACCTAACTCCAAGTGATATTTTACCCCATTTCTAAGCCCCATCCCTGAATCCCCTGCAGGTAGGAGTCTGCAATGGAATGAGGGTATTCATGTCACCCATCACTGTACTTTATAATTCTATGAAGTGCTGGAAGGTTTTGTTGTTGGTTTTTTTCATGCTGCTTTAGAATTTCTCAACTGTTTCAGGCTGCCTGTCAGAAATGATTTCTGAGCACATCTGTCAAACAGCTGCCTCAGAGAAATCAAGGCACCAGACCACCTCCCAAATATATTTTCTTCCCATGAGAAAACTAAGAAACTTTCCTGCCCTGATGTCACCCTGACTTATATGCCGATATCCAGACGGAAGAGTATGTACCCCAAGGGCTTCATGTTTTTAATAAGCAAGTCTCAATTCCATTTTGCCTGCCTATGTGAAATGGACCTGTTGACTTTTTGAGAAATGTCTTTGGGGTTGGTCGAACTTATACACGTATCTCCAATATATGAGTAGAGGGCATACTTTGCTTCATTTTTTTCTCTGTGCCATATTGGTATTTTTAATGTGTCCTTTTCTAAGTTACATATTATTTACTACTCGTACTTAAATTACACATTGTACTTGGTAAACTCAGGAACAATATCTAGAGTACCTAATGCCCTTCCACAGGATGGGATTTCCCTGTTCTGTCAGTTCAAGATGAGAGACAGAGCCTGGAAAGCCCCCAGTAGTGCTTGGTACTATTAGCAGATGTCAGTAAACTGGAGGTAATTCTCTCAATCCTTTTATTAATTTTTATATCAATCTTTCTTAACCTAATAAAGGTAAGTAATTTCTTTCTTACCAAGCTAGCCTTACTTTTTCTAGTAATCCTGTAGTGAGTTTTATAACATTAACAGTTGAACTGAATATTTAGAATTTAAAAATTTAGGAAATTCCAATGTGTGACAATTTCAAAAAGTAAAATTGAATGCTGATTTCACGTTTACCAAACCTATATATAAGGCTAAACTTGGCCTACCATTTTTGTTAGTGCCAATATATCAGTAAATTCACTAGTCAAAACAACAACAAAAAGGACAATGAATTCAAAAGCTACTACCTCATGCTGCTTTGCTTCTTCAAGATAATAGAGCATAGAACTACAAACCTTAATTTAGAAGTAGCAGGTATAATGTAAGGCTACTGGGAATTGGCAAAATGAATCCCCTCCCCCATATAATGAATATGTGCTAATAAAAATGAAAGAAAGAAAAGTAGCAGGTATTTTCATAATGC